CTGGGTCAGTCCTTGTGCGTCATGCTAACAAGTCAACACTACATTATAAAAGCACAACATTAACTTCAAAAGTTTGGAGGGAAGCTTGAAAAACAAGATGCGACTTGAAAGGACGATCACAATAAAGACCAGTAAAAAATGCGAAGTGAGCAATCACTTCGCAGTCTAAAAAGCGAAAACGACGTCTAAGTAATTAAGCGCAGTTCAAATCACGCGATTTGCCGCGCTTGGACTGCGTACATATGAAATCGCGAGTAAAGCAAAAGTCGCGACGGGTGTCATGATTTCCCCAGCCTCGTTTCTAGTGTCGCGATGAACTCGAATATGACAACAAAAGCGTGTTTGCCGCAGCAGTACCCATTTTTTCGCGATCTCCCGTTGCGGGCGGATCCACTGCGCGAGCTAACCACGAATGTCTGAGTAGCCTAGTCTGGTGCATTGCGCTGCGGCTGAGGTAGTGTAGGATTGAATTAGTGTATGTGCGACCTTCATGTATATAGATTTGCCTAAACGCTGCTTTCACGCGCTATACTTTCACAGATAGATGCGTGGCTGGCGTCGAAGGCAACCAGGCATTTATGACGGCAAAGTGGGAAGTAGTGTGCAATGTCTATCCTGATAAAGCTCTTCCCACGTGGCACCTCATTTTGCTTCTTAAGCACGAGAACAGGGCTCCATGAGGTGGCTTTTTCATTTTTTTAAAAACAAAGTCCCCATAGACTTCGCCACAAAAGTACGGCATCACCTATGACGCGTGAATGAATCAAATCAAATAACGAAAAATATTGAAGCAAAACATAAAAGCAACATTGAACAGACGATTAAGAACTAAAGATGTTCTATTCTCCGAATTGGGACACATTCGAAACGCATAAGCGTGCCATGATTGGCGTCGCGGCAGCGACGCGCAGTTTTCGCCGCCGAGCGCGACAGCGTCCACAACTTGGAGCTTGCTTGAACCAGCGAAGTACATATGCCTATTGAGAGGCTTCGTGAAGCTTGCCGCACAGAGGACATCGCGGAACACTTCCTTATGTTTATACCGAGTGTTTAGAAGTTTGTGGCACTACACTGATGCTCAGAGACTTGCAGATAAGCCTTTTGCAGTTTATACTTGCCGTGTAAAGCGCATGTTTTTTTGCAGCTCGTTCAGTGTTATGATTCAGTTCCAGTGACTACGAGAACTACGAGAAATCTAGTTCGAATATGTTTTCTAAGGAACCGGCAAGCTGGAAAGTTCTAATGAACGCTTAGAACATATAACCTCATCTTTCACAGATTGTCTTTGGGAAACCTTGCGTTCTGGTATTTTCGAATCAGGATAAAACTTCGACACACAAATACTCCTAGATTCCAGCCTTTTTGCAATAACTGTGAAAATTGGTGCACTGCCATGATGATCACTTCTTCACATAATTCTGGTTTGAAACAATCAAACGGCTCTTCCCTAGAATGGGAAAATGCACTTACCTTCCTGTGCAGACTACTGGTCTTTTCACCATCTACTCCATCCTTATGAGAAGGCAAGACCGAAGGTGGATTTCGTTCTTCTACCCAACTCATAATCCAAACGGCTGTGGTACTCAATGCGCTCATAAGCGCATAATTCATTTGATGTTGCAATCAAACAAAAAGAACTCTAACAACGTCACAAAAAAGCATCGCTCTTAAGGGACGACAAGATAACAACGAACATCCAATCTAGTGTCTTATACTAATGCAACTACGTCGTATCCACGATCAGTGAAGTACCTAATTTTGACACAAAGAACAAAAGCAAAGCCTAGAATTTGAATAGCAGAGTGGAACTCGTATATTCTAATGAAGAGGTAGCTAACGTATGCAATAATGAAGATAAATGACTATATGGATGTTATGAACCGTGCTACGATGCCAGCGATAAAAAGCGGCTATAAACATGAGCTGCTGTCTATGAATATGAGTTGCTGCAGTTTTTTTTTGATATGTATCTCCTGCTATTTCTATTTTGAAACTATCATGAAATAGCTGACAAATCCGGCTCCGCCCGGCCCTGTCCACATTATATTCGTAATCATGTCACTTACCCGCCTGTGCCAACTCCCAGCCCGTAGCCCAAATTCTGCAAAAATCAATAAAATCGATAGCGATCAATAACGAAAAGTAGCCTGCGACATCCGCCCCGCCTCGAAGGGTATGTGTGCAAAGTTTGATCTGAATCGGTTTAGAATTTTTAGAATATACGCCGAGACCCACATACTAACAGAAATTAACACATTCACGACAAGGCCGATTTTTCGATTACTGCTGTTTCGGACCAAAGCTTTTTTTGCTTTGTCAAACTTACTACCCACCCGTGGGTCGTATTTTCCAAAATGGTAGTCTTTTTGGAAGAAATTCAAAACATGTCTCCGAGAATTTCCCCACAAGGGTTATCGAAGGCGCTGATTGACACAATATGATTTATTTCAGTTTTTGGCAGTATACGGTAAGGTTACGGTAGTCATTCTGCACGAGGCCAACATAGTGGATTTTCATGAAAAATCGTGTTCTGGGGTTATTTGCATGCTGATTACAATTTAGTGTCCACTTTATTCACTACTTTCCCACAATGGGACTACGGTAGCAGTACGATAGAATTTTCGTAAAAATCAAGAAACTTATAAGAAAGCGGTATTAGAACTTGAAACTATCATTTTCGTAATCAGCATGCTAAAAAACCTATAAGGTTGGAAGGTTTGAGCTTCCTGGTATGAGCAATGCGAAAAGCCAATAAAATCAATAAAATCGATAATTTTTGACGGGCTGGCATCAGTCTCGTGCCCTCCCTGTATTTCTCGTGCATTTAAACTTGAGTTTTCAAAAACAGCACCACTCGAAATCTGAGCTAAAGTCTGTGCCTTGCCTCTATCTACGGTAAACCTACTGCAGCATTACATTACAGTATCCCGAGCCCAGACTGGCTGGAGCTTCGCGAAGGTGTCCGCAGTCAAGTGCCAGAACCCCGTGGATCCCATCTTATACTGGCAAAGCTAGAGCTTGAGAAATCTTACGACTCACCGATGGGTCGTATTGTCGTGAATGTGTTAAGCTTTATTTATACAGATAGACAGAGAGAGAGAGAATTAAAGAAGGCCGTTACAGATTGCAGCAGCACCAAAGTCTCACAGCGCTGCAGTTACTAAGTACGATGGCAAGCGGAACTTCATAGTAATCGCTGGAAATGGCCAATGGGAAGCAAAGGATAATGCAGCATTTATACGATGTCCGCGAGCAGCTCTACCCTTGCCACAGTGAAAGACATTGACATCCTAATCAAAATTACTGCTTTTCCCTAACGATTTTTGCGAAATCGAACAGACCGATTTTTCCACGTAATTTGCTAATGGTGGTTTCGCTCCCTTGAATATTTCAGTAAAGAAGTGTACGAATGTGAGAAGACTTCTTTATGGCGGACCAAGCAGATCACTTTCTTCACAAAAGGCTGACGAAGCTCTGACTAAACTATTGGTTCCTTCGTTTTTAGCTGTTCAGAGCAGTTAATTAGTCGATTGTAATGTTTTATGCAATTTGGTCATTGTTGGAGGCATTTCTTTTCACTGCCTGCTGCACATGCCAGAGCAAAGCAGCTTTTTACTCCATATGCTGGGAAAAGCGTTGGCAAAGATATTTCAGAATGTGTTCATATTAACAGTCGCGATCTAATTGGTGTGAAGAGAGAAGATGTTTTTTCACTTGGTTGAACAGTAAATCATGCTATCTCAGTCATCCTAAACCTTTCCGTCATGTCTATTGATCGAAAAGTTGCCTGCGGTCCTGTATGAGAGCAAATAGGTCGCGGGCAACGCCTTCTACCCTTCTTCTGACAAGGGAATGGTCAGAAGTCGAAATGGCCAATCCATACAAGCTGCATACCATTAGATGCACCATGGAACGCTGACTCTAAATCTGTCTTCCTTATCTGCAGAGCGCTTTTGTGGACGAGATCATAAGCCGTTGAAGGCTATTATTTTGCTAAGAAATTGTGCGTGTAAAGTGCAAACTTGGCCGTACAAAGCCATCCTCGGCTCGATGTTGGACCAAAACATACAACTAGGTCCATACCCTCGATACATAGAGCCACATACTCTGGTAACCTTCACTTTGAGGGCTATGAGGGGACACAACCTTCACTTGGAAAAAAAAACAGAAGTCATCCGAGGCGAAGCCGCGGATGTTAATATCCTGACTATGTCGTAAGAATGTGAATGAATCAAATATAGGAAAGAATATCTAAAGAATGTCTCAGCTAAACTGAGAAATTGCTTTTTCAAAGCCTTTTTTACGCTGAAAAGAGAATTTCTGTGAAAATTTCCTCAGAATTCAGGACAACGTTCCTCAGTTAGCCTCTTACTTGACCAAAAATGAGTTTTAAAAGTTTGGAAAGCTGTTGGAGTTGAACTAAAATGAGAAACTGCGCTTAAATGTGCGCAGAGACTCGCGCACGAAAATGCTGGTCTATCTCGTTAGTAAGTGATTTTTAAAGCTTCGGACGTTGTCAGCTCTCCTCGTCGTGTCATAGCGGTCAGAATGATAATGTTACAGGGTTTCGTTGAGACCCCGACGAGATCTACGACCAGAGCCAAATGCCCCCGTCGGCTCTGGTCTGTCTCCGCTGCTCATCTGCGTCTCCGCGCGCTGCGCGCTACCTCGCTACCCCAAACGCGGGGCGCGGGGCATTTGGCTCTGGTACCCTTTTCTTCGCTGTTTCGAACCCAATGTTAGCAAGCTATATATCATTTTGAAGCTCTTGATCTATATTTTCACGCTGACAACGTCTCAAAATCATGTTTCTTCATTTGAACGAGAAATCCGGCAAAAACCTTGTTTTCGAAAATCTTTTGTTTTTTTTCTTGTTTACCTCTTTTTACGCGGTTTTTTAGTGCATTCTCTAGATCTTGCTTCTGTTCATAATGCAGACAACCACCCAGCCTTTATCTCATCGATTATTGTGGATTTTTTTGCAAAAAATCGTAAAAAGTGCGTTTTTCTTTACTTTGTTCTGTTTCACTGTTTTATCGTCGATTTTTTTCCAGTTTGGGCGAAACGTTTCTTGTTGCTCAGAACAATAAGCGCAACAATCCAGACAACGCCCCAGGAAACAGGAACGTCAATGTGGGGGTAAAAATTCAAAGGATGCATCAAAAATCAAAACCCCGTGTTGCGAATTGCTGGTCCTGAAGCGAAAACTTGCATGTTGAAAAGCCGCCAAATGAAAGATTTCAAGCCTCATTGCAGCGTTTTTATTCTATTTTCAGCAGCTTCTTTTGCTTTTTCTATCTGTTTTATGTCATTTTCTCTTCTCTGATCATCTTTAAACAACCTTCACTATTTATGACGTCAGATGTTCAAACAACCTTCACTTTTGACGCCCTGTCTCTAGACTATCGAAGGTATGACTAGGTCACTTCACATGACTCGTACCTAGAGGTGAGCTGAAAGAGCAATAATGTGCCTAATTTCGCAATTTTTGTATACGGTTTTTCCGCAGTAAAGCTGCTCATAACTTCGGCTACAAAGGCGCTCTGCAGATATGGAAGACAGATTTGAAATCAGCATTTTATGCTGCATCGAACGGTATGCAGGTTGTATGGATTGGCCACTTCGACTTCTGACCATTCCCTTGTGAGACTACAACAGTCGCTAGCCTCAGGGAACATACCTTAGGTTGAAAATGTCGTCAATACAAAGGGTTCGCCGTATCTTGCTAGGTTTTTCGCGTTGGTGTGATAATGACTGGAAACAATACTATTAGCAGTGCAAGCCGTCTATCGCTGGGGTTTCAAGTAGGAAATATCTCCACTCACGTTCTGCATAGGTCGTGGCTCCGGAATCCATCGAATTGCGTGTTAGCATCCATCCTCATTCAAACAGATACAGTGTCAAGATTATGCAGCCTCCCAAGTTAAACATGGCACTTGTTTGCAATGTTTCTGAAGTTGAATGCTTCAATATCTAATTTGCTTACGGTTTATGCACCTTATCCGGAAGCTTGTGAAATATAGTCTGTTTCTGGGACCCTCTCGCATCTTTGTC